GGACCCTGTGCTTGCCAGGCAGGCACTTATTCTACTGAACTATCTCCCCAGCCCTTCAGTTTAACTTCTTGTCTGTGTGGTTTTATTATCAGGTGGTCATTAATACATCATTCCCACTCTGAGAAAATCATTATTTCAATTCTTCATTGATTGATTTCCTAGTAGCCCAAACTCCATGCCTCTGAAGACACCCACTTTATATTCACAGGAAGAAGAAATGTTTCGTCCAAATATGTTTTTCCTCCTCTTGCTTCCGCCTATCATCTTTGAGTCCGGATACTCCTTACACAAGGTACGAGGGCCGTGTGCGTGCTTTTTGGTCTGGACAGCTCTTCATAGCTGCGGGCAGGCTTTCTAAGTGCTCGGGTGGTAATTTAGCAACACCCTTTCCTTCCTGGGGGTGCACGGTGGAAACGATGCTGCGCCCAGCTTCTGGAGGAACAGGCAAGCCCTGTTAACTGCCCCAGTGGCTTCGTGCTATGTGGCCCCTTGAGCCAGCACTTGTGCAGAGCCACACTTTGCCAGGGAAGATGGCCAGCGTGATTGCCTAGCACACAGATGACGCACTGACTTCTCGTGTTGGACACGGACTGACACTTGTTTAGAGGACAGACTTTATCCTGAGGAAACAGGGACATGTACCCCAGGCTGTTTGCTTCTCCTGGCTCACCCCGTGAGGCCCTGCACCTGCTTAGGTGGGTCCTTCCTTGTCTCCTCTCTCTGGCCTGTGCTTTAACCCACAGTTGTTATTCATCACTATCCCTTGGATTCTCCCTGCTCCCCCCAGCCCAGCTTCGCCTTGCCAGGCTGGATTCAGATTCTCACTGCCCTTCCCGTTGTGCTCAGGGTCCTGGCCCAGTCACCTGTCCTGTACTAGCTCTACCTGTTCTGCCTCCCAGCCAGCAGCATGGGCAGCCCTGCCCTCCATCCAGCTCGAGCGTTGCGCTTGTCTTTTGGAGCTGTTGATGTGTGGACTGCAGATTCCTTTTCCTCCTGTGTTAATCCTTTTTAAAGATAAATTCATTTGAATTTTTAAATAGATTGATTCAACTTCAAGTAATAGTACTGCAGGAATTTTGAGAATGTCATAAAAAATGGGGAGGGTTGGAGGAACTGAGGCTAGACCAGCTCTGAAATGAAAGAGCCCGAGTCTAGGCTTTGGACCCTGAGACTCAGGTCTGATCAGACGCTGCCCTCTACAGGCTCTGTGATAGGTGAACATTAAAAATAAAACCTCAAAACAAACTGCTTTCCGCATTGCTTTCAGGTCTTTACTAGATAGAAGGTGGTAACACAGCACTGTTCCTCACACGAAATAAGCAGAGTGCTCCTTCTTGGTTTGCTTTTTGTTTGTTTGTGTTTTGTACAGGGTCTCACTACACAGATCAGACTCATAGTGATCCTCCTGTTTACAGCCTCCCAAGTGCTGGGATTACAGGCCCACTGGCAGGTCTAATCTCCATTGCAGTCTCAGTGTGCCCTGGGGACAGGGACAATACACAGGCCTGGGGGTCAAACTCCTGGCCCTTTCTTCTCTGGTTTAATCCGCTGAGCTATTTGGCTAGCCCTCATCCGGAGTTTTCGAAGGAAGATAAGTTTGTTCGAAACTCGGAAGAAAATAGTAGTTTCTTTCTTTCTTTCTTTCTTTTTTTTTTTTTTTGGTGGAACCAGGGATTGAACTCAGGCCCTTGCACTTGCCAGGCAAGCGCTTTAAAATTGTTGTTTTGGATCTGGGGAGATGACTCAGTGGAATAAGCGCTTCCCTGGCAAGCACAAGGCCCTGAGTTCAATTCCCAGTTCCACCAATAAATAAATAAATAAATAAATAAATAAATAAATAAATTTTTAAAATAAATAAAATTGTAGTTTCTTAGAAAAATATTTCTTTGAAGATGAGTTTCAGAAAACTGTGATACTTGATGTGAAGGGTTGACAGGAGCTGGGAATCCCATTTCAGTCTTTTGTCTGCTCTCTACTCTCCTCCAAAGAAGGCAGAAAGTTGACTTTGAGCATTTTATTTTTTTAAATTGCATATTAGCTATATTCTGATATAAATGCAACGGAATGATTTATTATAACATTCTTTACAGACATTTGTACACTTTACACCATTATTTTTTTTTTTTTTTTTTTTTTGAGACAGGGTCTTGCTGGCTAGTCTAGGCTGGCCTTGAATTCATGATGATCCTCCTGCCTCAGCCTCCCAAGTGCTGGGATTACAGGTTTGTGCAACCACACCCAGCTGAGCATTTTATTTTACTATTACTCTATTTAGTGATGTAAATGTGGACTGGAAATATACAGTTCAGTGAGATTGTCAGCTGGTGGACACGAAGCAGGCAGAAGGGTCTGCAGGGTGTTCAGGGTCTCACTACTATGTCAGACTCAGTGATCAGTCTATTTACAGCCTCCCTAGAGCTGGGATTACAGGTACTTGCCACCATGCCCAGTCTCAGTGCCCCTGCACAGCAGACTCAGGGATGGAACCCTTGTCCCCTGCGCCTACTTACAGGTGCTTTAATCCTCTGAGCTATTTGGCTGGCCCTACTTTTTTTTTTTTTTTTTTGGTACCAAGGATCGAACTCAAGCCCTTGCGCTTGCCAGGCAGGCACTTTTTCTACTAAGCTACCTCCCCAGCCCCTAATGCTATTTGGGCTTGAATATTTTCTCTTAAATGTTATGAAGAATAGATGCATCAGTGCATATTGTATTTGACAAATTTGGTAATCCCAGAACTCAGAAAGCTAGGCAGGAGGATCCTTGCAAGTTTTAGGCCAACCTGGTCTACGTAGTGAGTTCAAGACCAGCTTAAATTGCATAGTGAGACACAGTTTCAAAAAACAAAATTGCAGGACTGGTGAGATGGCTCAGTGGTCTAAAGCACCTACTTAGAACAAGCTTAGCAAAGCACTTGGACCACAGTTCAATCCCCCAGCACCACATGCCAGCCAGCCCGCCCCCTGGTGGGCTGAGCTGGCTACACACACATAAATAAATAAATAAATAAATTAATTAATTAATTAATTTTTTAAAAATTGCTAACATAAAATTATTAAAAGACCTAGGGCCGGGGAGATGGCTCAGTGGAATAAGCGCTTCCCTGGCAAGCGCAAGGACCTGAGTTCAATCCCTGGTTCCACCAAAAAAAAAAAAAAAATTATTAAAAGACCTGGATGGCAAAAATGTTTCACCTGTTACCTGTTATCTTGATAGTCTGCATAATCAACTTTTCTTAGCTGAGTGAAAAACTGTAATTGTTTAGCTTTTAGGCCTTGATGAGATCTGAAACCCAGTTGATTCTTTCTGTACCTGTGTACCAAGCATCTTCCACGTGACAGGCAGTGTGTCAGTGACTATTGTACCAAAGCTGATTTCGTTACCCCATTGAGCCTGCAGGCTTATGAGAAAGACAGATGTTAGTCAGACAGTTAGGTAGGTGACTGAGCTGTATCTGGTACCACTGGGAGTGGGCCACCAGGAGAGAACAGGACCCCAGCTGGGAGCCAGCGAAGTGATCAGGGATGGCGTCCCTCAGAAGGCATGGAAGTGTCTTGACGTCACAGTGTGCTGAAAGTTCTCTGCACAAAGAGAGCATGATAGTGCTCATGGAACCCAGCAAAGGCCGTCCTGCTGCACAGAGAGCCCGGAGGCCTTCCTGCGGCTCAAGCCATCCGGATTCACATACAGCTGCATTTCAGGTGGAGGTGGGGGTTGGAGTGAGGGCAGCATCCACAGATTTGTCTTTTGCAAGGATCATTCTGGAAGCCTCAGAGAGTGGCGGAGAGGGGCCAGGAGTGTGTGAGGGAATTTATGAGGAGCTGGTGCAGTGTTTTGGGAAGAGCTGAGGTGGGCACGGGGCAGGCAGCTGGTGAGCCTGTGTGAGGGAGGACATAGGTTGCCAGCTTGCCACACAGGCAGGTCATGGTGCCGTCGCCAGCCCGGAGGGCAGGTCGAGTCTTGTCGCTACTGGCAGGCATCTCTGATCATTTCTATCTGCTTTTTTAAACAGGGTAACTTCTTTCAGAATATTGGCTCCATCACCTTGTTTGCTGTATTTGGTACTGCGATCTCTGCTTTTGTAGTAGGTGGAGGAATTTATTTTCTGGGCCAGGTAAGAAATACATCTTTGAAAGACTTTGATGGTCTTCCATTCCGAGAGCTTGAGTGGGAGTAAGGTGGGGCTCCCCAGGGGTTTGCAGTTTCTCCTGCCTTCCTGGAAGGGGTCCCCAGTACAGGAGACACAGCGGGAACCGCTGAGTCCCCCCCCCACTAAGGACGGTGTTGTCTGGAATTGAGTGACTTTTCAGTAATCCCCCAAACATTAAATGGAATATGCAGATCAGTAGTCTTAAATTGAAGTGCCTAGAAATATAGCACATATATACTGTCCTGGTTTTCAGATGGTAACAGTATCAGTACTGTCATGGAGTTGACAGAATTAGGTTTGAATGTTTTTAAATAAAAATTTACATTTTAAGTCTAAAATGATTCTGAGTCTGTTCACTCAATTCTAAGTCTTGCACTTATAGAATTACGTACTTCGGATTTTCCACTGTTACAAACCACTTTGCAGCGGCGTGCACAGTTGTGGGTTCTGCACTTTGAGCTTTGAATTAAATTTGCATTAATCCGGATCAGCTGCACCTAGAAAGCAGCGCGCCCAGATCTGCGCGTGCATGGCCCTGCTCGTGCTACTTTCTTTATTGTCCTTTGCAGAAAGTTTGCCACTCCCAGTGCTAAAAGCCAGAGGCTCAGGCACCAGGGTGGCTAGCAGATTGCTCTTAGCACCAGCGGTTTTCTTCTCTGCTAGCTGAAGCCCCTTCCATCTGACTTCTCTGTGAACTGCCTTAATGGCCCTGGAACAAATCTGTCTTTATGCAACTTTCTTCATTGCTCAGTTTCGCGCATCAAAGAGAAATACACTTTAGAGAAGAAAGCTGCAGCTAATCGGGCGTGGCAAGTGCAGCTTCCCACTCCTGCTCCCGTTGTGTGATGACTGAATGCATGCTTAAGCCAAAACTTAGGCATTTTATTTTTAAAGTGGTTTGGGGACTGAAGATGAATGTCCTTATTAGTTTGTAATAGAGCACTGATGGACATTTTAATCTTCTTGACTGTTCTCCAGGGGTTTTTTGTGTCTGTGTGTTTGTGTGTTTTATTTTACAGGCTGATGTAATCTCTAAACTCAACATGACAGACAGGTAAATCCTTTACATTGCAATACGCATCCGACTGCTGTGCAGGCTGGGGCGAGTTCTCCACAGCGCTTCCCGGGCGTGGTACTTCTTTCTTTACTCCCCCTGCTGTATTGCCACTATAGAATCTATTCTGAATTAATTTTTATCTTTGCTATGAATCAAAATTATATTCAGGGCTTTGGAAAACTCCTCGTCTAAGCATTGCTGATCAGAGTGTTTTAGTTTAAGCACTGGGGAGAATAGCTCTGGTCAGTTAACTGGCCCACTCGCAAACACACAGGCAGTGCACCACTAGCCATTTATTATTGAGAGTTATCTTTTGCCGGGTACAGTAGGGCACATCTGTAATTCCACCACTCTGGAGACTGAGGTAGAAGGATTGCCACAAGTTTGAGGCCAGCCTGCGCTGCATAGTTGGTTCAAGGCCGGCCTGAATTACATAGCGAGACCCTGTCTCAAAAAGAAAAGAATCAGGCTGGGGAGATAGCTCAGTAGATTTTTTCTTTTTGTTTGTTTGTTTTGGCGGAACCGGGGATTGATCTCAGGCCCTTGCGCTTGCCAGGGAAGCGCTTATTCCACTGAGCCATCTCTCCAGACCTTTAGATAGCTCAATAGAATAAGTACTTGCCTGGCAAGTGCAGGGCCCTGAGTTCAATCCCTGGTACCGATAAATAAATAAATAAGAGGGCCAGCCAAATAGCTCAGCGGATTAAAGCACCTGCAAGCAGGCGCAGGGGCCGGGGTTCGATCCCTGGGCCTGCCATGCCAACCCCGCCCCCAGGGTGCACTGAGACGCCAATTGAGACTGGGCTTGGTGGCATGCACCTGTAATCCCAGCTCTTGTGGGGCTATAAACAGGCAGATCACTGAGTAGGATCTAGTAGTGACACCCTGAACACCCTGTAGACCCTTCCCTAAAATACAAAAAGAAAGAAAAAAAAATCAGCTCCAGCTAGTTTGCAAGTTTTTTTCTATAGCTGTAATGAAAGATTGTGTTCCTGAAAGATTACAGCTGCAGAAGAGAATAGTGGGCATCTCCACTCTCAGTTTCCAGGCAGGGCTGGAGCAGGGCTGGGACGGTGAAGCCGGTGTTGCAAGGGCCCCGTGGGGATGTCCTCGCGCCCAAGCTGTGCTGGTAAGCACTGGGCATAGCGTGCTGTCTGGGTGTCTGTCCAGGACTTGACTTTTTGTGGTATGAGGATCAAGCCTAAGGGAATTCTACCACTGAACTATATCCCTTTGTTTTATTTCTTTTCTTTTTTTAATTTAGTACAAGGTCTACAGGGTCTCACTAGGTAGATCTGACTCACAGGGATTCTCCTGATTTCAGCCTCCCAAGCACAGGAATTACAGGCACACGCCATCATGTCCAGTCTCAGTCTGTCTCAGCGCGTCCCAGGGGCAAGGCAGGCACTGCACACTGGGGATCAACCCTAGCCGCTGCACTCTGCCTAAGCAAGTGCTTTAGTCCGCTGAGCTGTCTGGCCAGCCCTCATTTGTTTTTTGAGACAGAATCTCACTCTCTATTCCAGGCTGGCTTCAAACTCACTTCAATCCTCCTGCCTCAGATTTTCAAGTGCTGGGATTACAGGCGAGTGCTGGAATTACAGGCATGAGCCACCATGCCTGCTGTGTTTTGTTGAGACAGGGTCTTGCTAAATTGTCCAGGCTGGCGTCTGACTTGTGGTTCTTCTGCCCTGGTCTTCCAAGCAGCTGGGATTATAGGTATATGTGCCATCACACCCAGTTTAGGAATTTTTTTAATCCATTCAATAAGAAGCAATCTGGAGGGTATTGTGGCCTGGCCTATAATCCCAGTTACTTTGGCTTTCTTTCTTTTTCTCTTTCTTTTTCTTTTTTTTAATGAGCAGAATATATTTAATGAGAGAAAGAAAGCTCCTGTCCAAGAGAGGGACAGGAGTGGGGCCCAAGCAGGTAGTTCTCCGGGAAGCTGTCTCTTCCAGGGACTTTTATAGTGTAAAACCATGTGAGGCTAAGGTAGAGAGAATGGGAACTCACTTATCTTTCTTTTTCTTTTGAAACAGAGTCTCCCTATGTAGCCCAGGATAGCCTCCAACTCACTGCAATCCTGCCTCAGCCTCACAAACTCTGGGATTACTGATGGGTGTCACCATGCCAGGCCAATAACATTGGAAACAGAAGGGTCATGAGTTTGAGGCCAGCCTGGGCTATACAAGGAGACCTTGTAAACCTCTCCAAAAGAAGGCTGCTGAGGTGGGTGTCTCAAAAAGTACCGCTGAACAAGTACCCAGCCCCCATCAAATCCCCATAGCATGCAGTCGCTCTCACTCGCTGCATGGCTGGGGTGGTGGGTGGGGGCAGGTGTGTGGCCCCAGGCCCTTCCTCAGGGGCAGCCAGAGCTCACAGTCTAGCAGTGACCTAGCTCCTTGGAACTGGAATCTTAGAACCCTTTTCTCAGAAATATGCTTCTTCTTCTTTTTTTTTTTTTTTTTTTTTTTGCGGAACCAGGGATTGAACTCAGGCCCTTGCGCTTGCCAGGGAAGTGCTTATTCCACTGAGCCATCTCCCCAGCCCCAGAAATATGCTTCTGATAATAGTCCCATTCCATTCCTGTCTTCCCCCAGCCCTGCCCAAAATTTAGTTTGGAACTCTTGTAAGAAAATTTTTATATATAAGCAAAGAGCCAAATCTTATTCCTGTTCTACCAGAGCTAAAAATAAAGCAGAACTGATGCCCCATGTTTCTTAGATATTTTGCAAGTGTTTAAAAAAAAAAAAGCCCTGACCACCATTGACATAAAGGAAGGTGTCACAGCTCTGAGACCTTCACCCTACTTGGGGTGAGACATTCAGCCAGAGACACTGGTGGTGCTGGATATTTGTTTGTGAGATTGAACTGAAGCAGTGGTTGGGTTGTTGGGGTGGAGAGAGTGGAGACTCGCCCATGGACAAGCTAGGTTAGAACCAGGCAGTGGACAGTGCTCCCTTGCGATTAGAGACTGCTCCCTCACAGAAGGGACCTGCCAGGTATGGTAGAGGCAGGACAGGGCCACAGGAGAACACATTTGCCCGAAGGGACAGTGTTCCTCAGTCCTTCCTCATAATGCATTTTAAAGATATTGTGTGTGTGTGTGTGTGTGTGTGTGTGTGCGTGGGATGCAGCCCAAGGCCTGTACCACTGAGCCAACCCTAGTCCCAGTTAAACAAAAGTTTGTGGGGTTTTTTAATGTATTTGGTACAGGGTCTCACTACACAGCTCAGACTGCTAGTGATCCTCCTGTTTTCAGCTTCACCGGTGCTGAGATTACAGGCATGCCCCACCACACTCAATCTCAGTTTTTGGCTCAGAGTGCCCAGGGGTGGGGCTAGTGTGACATGTGAGGGGGATCAAGCCCCAGTCCCTGCGTTTGCCTAAGCAGGTGCTTAGTCCACTGAGCTATCTTGCTGGCCCACAAATTTTTTTTTTTTTTTTCAGAACCGGGAATTGAACTCAGGCCCTTGCACTTGCCAGGGAAGCGTTTATTCCACTGAGCCGTCTCCCTGGCCCCTGTACATTACCATCACCGTTTTGCAATATTTGCTTTGGTGCCTGCCCTTCCTCTGTCCCCTCTTCAGTTGTCTATGGCCCCCAGAGGGACACTGACACAGAACATCAGCCAGGCCGCTGATAGTGCAGCTCAGGCCTAACAGATGAGCTTGAGCATAGAGAGGAAATGTGTTGGCTTCAGGACTGAGGTGTACCCGGGAGGGTCTTCTGGCGTGACACGCTCAAGGGCGTGCAGTTTCGGGAATCTCCTCCTCATAGTGGTCACAGCTCAGGCCCCCAACTGGCCTCCTCCTATCACTTGGTCCCCCCATGGCAGTGCTGCTGGCTCAGGATCACAGCATCCCCTCAACCACCACTCCTGAGAGGGCCAGCCTCTTCCAATGACCTGGTGAAACACTGGGGATGCCCTTAGTGTCCGAGACTCTGCCCCATGCCTTAGCTATAGCCCCTGTGTGACTGCAAGGACAGAGAGCTGAAAGGCATGGCTCCCTAGAGGAAGGCAGGGGGCTCTTACCAAGATAAGGGTTGTGGGCACTGAACACGGACAGCGTTGGCTTTCCACACTGTGGCATGTGCTCCTTGCAAACGGGGAGGCCAACTGAGCCGCACTCAGTCAGCTCCTGCCATGGCCTAACTCCTTTAGGACTTGTGTCTCACTGGCTGCCTTCCCTCACTGTGAGCAAGGGCATGAGAATAAAGAGGAGGCCAAGCTGCATCTAGGCTGCAGTGAGGCCCTGGAGCAGCGGCTGCGTTGGGAGGAGCAGGACTCCTTCCTCCCTGCCCTGCCTCTTCCCTTCCGTGAGCATCTCTGCTTAGCACTGGTCCTGGGACACACCTGTGATGAGAGCACATGCTGGCCGGCCATCGCCTCTGTGAGGACAGCCAGGTGTGGGGATGAGGCCTGAGCAGAGGTCCCCTCACATGGGCCTGGCCCTCTGGGACGCATAGGTCCTCCCTCCTGCATGAATTTCTACTCATCACGCTCAGGAATCCCCAAGCAGTGCGTGAAGGAATGCGTCAGCAAAGCAGCCAGGCGTTTCCCCCGTCAGCACCCCTCTGCCATGGCTGCGGGGGGCGGGGCACCAAACTCCCTGCCCCACGCCCAGTGTCACTCTGCCCTGGCAGACTGCACACTTGGTGATGGCCTGGCCAGTGACCACAATGTAGCACTGCACCCTCAAGCTACATACTTTGTCCCATGTGGACAAAGGGGACAGCAGCTGAGGACAAGAAGGCCTGCAAGTACACTAGAGAATGGACAAGCACCGGGGAAGAAATTGTCCAGACCCCTCCTATTGCCTGTAAGGAGATATCACAGAGGACCTGGGCCTGCCTCCCTCACAAGCTTCTGCAGTCTCCTGCCACCCAGTGTCACCAGCGCCGGTGGACCTCCACTGTGGTTCACAGGCAGCCAGCCCTGCTCCCAGATTCAGGAGTACTTGTTACTGCTGTCCCCAGATATCTTGGCCACTGCTTCTTGTCAAGTCATTCACAGAGGCCTTCCCTGGGTCCTGACCAAGTGGGATCCCACATGTCTCCCTGTGCTGGGCCATTCTTGGATGTCACCATTTACTTACTGGGCCACACTTACTGTTTTCTAAGTTTGGCTTAGTTTCTGTACTACTGCACCCACCCTGGTGACCCACCAGGACATGTGGGTTTGAGCTACCTCCACACCATTCTGCCTCCTGCCCGTCCATCCTCTGTCGGCAGCTGTGCTGGCTCAGTGCTTGCAGGGTGGAGGACTGAGGCCCTCAATGAGCCTGGGACGTGCTGGGCACCACAGAAATGCTTGCTGGTGGGATGGAGCAGAGGAGGCGGTTGGCAAATATTTGTTGGAAGTGACACCATCGTGCTGGGTACTGTCTGTGAGATCTGGAGGCCTGGCTGGAAGCCAGCATGATGTCAGCCACCCAGACTGCATATCTGGAGTTGCGGCTCTTCCCACTTTCTTAGAGGTTGCAAATCAGAGTGGAGGCTGGTGCTGTCCCCGATGGCATTCATTAGACAGCTCAGTGGCAGGGAACAGAGCAGAGGTCAGACCCAGAAGCTCCTGTACTACTGGCCTCTGGCTGCTCTGACCAGCATGGCTGGGCAGTGTGCTGTGTATTTGAGCAGAAGCTTCATGTATTGCTGGGCAGGGTCAAGGGTCAGTGTTGGCAGGTAGAATCTGACCGCTCCTAGCCTTCTTCCGGTATCGCCTCTCCTGCCCCATCCATAGTGTCAGTCAGCGGGGGATGCCCGTATTCTCTTGCGCTTCAGCGCGTGCTCTTGTGCTGTGTGGATTGTGGTTGCTGGCTGATGCTTTTGGTGTGTGGACCAAGTGACGTGCCTTACAGAACCTGCCCTTCCTTCTCTCTTTTTTTCAGTTTTGCGTTTGGCTCCCTAATATCTGCTGTCGACCCAGTGGCCACTATCGCTATTTTCAATGCACTGCACGTGGACCCTGTGCTCAACATGCTGGTCTTTGGAGAAAGTATTCTCAACGATGCAGTCTCCATTGTCCTGACCAAGTAAGTGTGTGGCGTGACAGAACAGAGGGACTCTGTAACATAAGGTCAGACATTGTACACGGCTTGCCCCCCGGGTGATCAGCTCGCCTGCTGTGTTTGTCCAACAGCCCTGACAAGTCATCCTGTGCCACAGGTGTCTGTCAGGGTCCTGGATGATTAGAACAGAGCCCACCTCTTCTGACCTCCTGCTCAGTGTGGCTTCTGAACCCAGCTTAGCATCAGCATCACTAGAGACTTAATAGATGTGACATTGTCAGGCCACGCCCTCACAGCCTTTCATTCAGTTGGCCTGGGTGAGCCCTAGACCTTTGGTCTTACCACATTACTCAGGTGGTGATAACAGCCAGCCCAGGGATCCGCACTGGGCTTCACTGTCAGATACAAAAGCAAGAAGCATGGGGCTGGGGATATTGCTCAGTGTTAAAGTGCTTGCTTTGCGTGTGCAAGGCCCTAGGTTCCATCCACAATGCAAACAAAAAAGCAACAGGCAGAGTCCCTACTCTCTGACCCCTTAGCTGATGCCTGGTGTCTGCACCTTCAGAGCTGTACAGTAAGGTACTGCTGGAAAATGCCATTGTGTAAAAGCTACTTTGGAAATGGTCTTTTTCAGATATTCATTGGCATTACTGTCTTACCTGATGGGACCTGAAAAAGCCAAATCACAAAATGTCAGAATTCTTATGTTGGAATAAAATGGTGTTCGGTAGTGGAAAAAGCCCAGGGGTTTGTTTTATTTTTGTTGGTACTAGGGCACATAGCCAGGACCTCACACGTGCTAGGGAACTGCTTGCCCACTGAGCTACCTCCAAGCCCACACCTGGGCTTTGGAGTCAGGCTGCCCCGGACTCACATCCTATTGGAGCCAGTTGGCTCTGTTTCTGCACCAGCCCCTGGGCCTCTGGGAGCTCTTGGTTCCTCAGCTGTAAAGCAAGGCTAAGACTGCCTGCCTCAGCCTAGGAGTTAGCAGATGATGGTTAAACGTGACACTATGTAAAATATGAAACCCTGTCCTCCCCTAGCCCTACCTCCAGTAATTTCTACCATTTTGGCCTGGTTTTGCCCACCTTTGTAGGTAGAGCTTACCAAGTATTGCTTAATTGCAAGAAATACTCAAATAAGAGGTTTGGGGTTTTTTTTTTGTCTGTTTGTTTTGTGTATTTGGTACAGGGTTTCACTATGCATCTTGGACTTGTAGTGATCTCTTGTCTCAGCCTCTCCAGTGCTGGGAATACAGGTGTGCACTGCCACCCTGGGTCTTTGTGGCCAGTTCAATGTGTCTAGGGCTGGGGCTGGCCCGGCATGTGGCGCTAGGGAACAAACCCCAGTGCTTGCCTAAGCAGGCGCTTAGTCCACTGAGCTATCTTGCTGGCCCCAAGTATTTTTATTTTATTTTATTTTATTTTATTTTATTTTATTTTATTTTATTTATTTATTTATTTATTTATTTATTTATTTATTTATTTATTTTGGCAGAACTAGGGATTGAATTCAGGCCCTTGCACTTGCCAAGCAAGCACTTATTCTATTGAGCCATTTCCCTGGCCCAGTAATGTGTATTCTTCACACAAAATTTAGAAAACCACAAGCAAAAAAAAGCTATACATATCTTTACTATGTAGAGATAATTATGGTTAACAACTTGATGTAAGTATGCATATATTTTATTTAAATGAGCTTATGTCTCAAACAATAAAAACTTCCCCTTGAACAGTGTTAAAAAAAAAAAAAAAAAAAATCAGATCTGTAGGGGCCAGGGAAATGGCTCAGTGGAATAAGTGCTTCCCTGGCAAGCACAAGGGCCTGAGTTCAATCCTTGGTTCTGCAACAACAACAAAAATCAGTGTTAATAAAATAATCTTTAGCTGGACTTGGTGGCACACATCTGTTATGCCAGTACTTCGGAGGCAGAAGGAGTCTAGGGCCAGTCTGGGCTACATAGAAAGTTTGAAGGGCTAGAGAGATAGCTTGGCAACAGAATCGCCTGCCTGGCAAGGGTAAGTTCCTGAGTTCTATCCCCAGTATTGGGGGGGAGGGGGAAGCTAGAGAGTTTTAAGCCATCCTGAGCTACATAGTGAGATCCTGCCTTAAAAACCAAACAGAGCAGGGTCGCCATGTTCTCCTTGGCACTGTGGGCCCAGGCAGCAGGCCTCACCACCTCGTGGGGAAGACAAGGAATTTGCAAAAGACAGCTGTGCAAAATGGTGCTGGAGGATCCTTGTTTGTGCACAGAGATACTTCTGAGAACAATCTGGGTACTCCATTTGATTTCACACCAGAAAACTGTAAGAGGATAGAAGCAATCATAAAAAACTACCCAGAAGACATAAAGCAGCAGCAGTGCTTCCAGTCCTGGATTTAGCCCAAAGGCAGAATGGTTGGCTGCCCATCTCTGCTGTGAACAAGGTTGCAGAAGTTTTACAAGTACCTCCAATGAGAGTATATGAAGTAGCGACTTTTTATACAACGCACAACCGGAAACCAGTTGGGAGGTACCACATTCAGGTCTGCACTGCTACACCTTGCATGCTCTGAGACTCTGACAGCATCCTGGAAACCATTCGGAAAAAGCTGGGAATAAAGGTTGAAGACTATACTTGACAAACTTTTCACTCTTATAGAGGTGGAATGTTTAGGGGCCTACATAAATGCACCAATGTTTCCAATAAATGACAACTCTTATGAGGACCTGACACCTAAGGATACTGAAGAAATTTTTTTTTTTTTTTTTTTTTTTTTCAGGGATTGAACTCAGGCCCTTGCACTTGCCAGACAAGTGCTTATTTCACTGAGCCATCTCCCCGGCCCCAGAAGAAATTATTGATGAGCAGAAA